GCGACTGGCTTATCTGTCCCTCCGCTTGAACCCCAATATCTATCTCTGGGTCTTTTATTATTCATGCTACACATGGAACCCTCAGTTTAATTCCCAGACCCTGTGCATGTGATGTTTCAGGAAGAATAATATAAAAGATAAATGTTGAAAAATAGCAAAGATATAGACAAACTAAACCAGTCTAGAAAATCTCATGTTAGAATAATAGGGATTCTGGAAAGAAGCAGGGAAGGAAAACTGAAAATAGTGATTAAGAAACATTGCAACAGCAAAAGAAACATTTCAGGAAGTAATACAAGAAAATTTCTCAGAACAAAGGAACTCCAGGTCAAAGGGTCACCAAGTATTCTGGCAGTGCAAAGCTACCCCCCCAATCCTCCCAAATCCCCCACCTCCCAGGGCCCAGAACAGCAAGGATAAAGAGGCCATTCTATAAGGCCACATGCAAAGCAAGCCAGAAAAATCTAGAAGGAATATTTTCAGGAAAACTGTCTCAGTTGGAGACAGTAGAAGACTTAGCTAAAGAACCAAAACCCAAATCTGACAAATAGTTATTTCAAGAAAAGTATGGAACTATAAAAGAAATGTAGCCATATTATACTATTCGTTAGATAAAAGCAGTATGGTTGCATGATTAAATAATAAAGGCTTTAAGATGTTGGCCAGAAATTGTAACAAATCATGTCGTGGAAGATGAGGGGGAAATAGGAGGTATATGTTAGCAAAACTTCTCAAGATTTCTGATGGTAGTCAATGCTGGCATAACAAAATGTCAGCACATGCTGGAGTTGAAGGTGGAGTGGAACAGAGTGGAAGGAAGTGGAGTGAGTAGATAAAAGATGGAAGGATGAAGAAAATGGCTGGGGCTTGCCATTCGTAAAAGCTTCTTCAATTCTGTCTAACATGCAAAGCTATATTTGTGCATTACTTTGACACTGTATAAAAATAATTGAAAACAAACTAGCAAAATGACAACCCTGTCTTATACATGATGAAGTTGTGCCTCTAGGGCACAAAACCGATAGTGTAATGAAAAGTGTCAAATTACCAAAGGTCTTAAGTTTAGTGCCACTCTGTGCTCTACTTGAAAATTAATTACTGTAAGGAAACCTGCCTTTTCCTTTATAACCCAGTCAGAATTTCCTCACAGTCTAGAGAGACTCAGCAGTCACATGAGAACCTGGAGTTCAGCTCCAACACTGGGAGGAGGTGGTATTTACAAACTGATAATTAAACCAATCCCACACTAGGTTCTTATCCCACAGCCAAACCCACTACAGAAACCAACATCCAGCTAGATAATATGGGATATGAAGTTGTCATGTCTTCAGCCCACCCTTTCAAACAGCTGAGCATCAACAGCTGTCATTAACTTGCTTAGTAACTTTTAGAAATTATGACAGTGACAAAACCTGCTCTAAGGAGCTGTGACTCAAGCCAGAGTATATACAAACACAAACTGTTGTTTTCATTATAACTAATGTTTGGTGCAGAGCTCTCTTTTCCAGAAGTCTGCCTTTTTAATGAACACACCCTGATAATCACAATAACTCTGATGGTATTCACTCACATGTACTAGGATTGATTCATGTTTACAGTAGACTCAGAAATATCTGTTGTCTTGAGTTTTCACCACCAGTCTGCCAATGTTTCCATTTTCTCAGAGTTTTCTAGGCAGCCTAGAGCTAGCACTGCCCTGACCTTCACCCTCTTCCTCTTCCTTTCCGTAGAACAGTTTTCCTTCCAGTTTAGACTCCCTATGCTTTTCTCTTCATTGTTCTTTGGACAGTGATGTGAGCACACAACTCCTAAACAACTCCTCAACAGCCAGCTCTCAGCTTCTTCTGAGTCCCAGCCCGGAATTTCCATTTCTTTCAGGACACTGTGATGAGAACCATCTGAGAAGCTAGAACCTTCTCACAGCTCCTCTCCTTCCAACAGTGCTATCAACAGTCCTGGTTAGCCAGGCCAGGTCACCCAAACTACCCCAATCCATCCTCTTTTTGAAAAGTCTTTATGCAGAGCACACTGAAAAAGAAAAAAAAAAAAAAAACCAATCCCCCAGATTTCATTTGCAACATGGTCTCTCTTCCAGTTTCCATCTATCACACTGACACTACCTGTACAGATCCCAAGCTCAGCCCTGACAGCTACAGCAGCCTCCTAATTTGTTCCCGCACATTCTGTCAGCTGCCATTTCAGTGCATGCTGAGCAGAATGACTGAGATCACATTGCTTCTGCTTTTAAACAATCTAAGGCTCCCTATTGCCGTATCTTGACACACAGACCTTTCACGTTAATGCCCATAATCAAAACGTCTCCAAATCTTATGCTCTCCTTCACATACTCCATGCTCCAACCAGACTCATTTAATGAACATGTTCCTGAAACATGCCTGGCAGTCTTAGAGGTGGGGCTAATGGCCCACCCTGTCTCATCCTACGAATCCTTCAGGCCCATATTGGTGTCTTTAACATCTCCACAAACAAATATCCCCCTCTCCTTTGTACTTGATGCTTCACAGTTCTGTTTTCATTTGGCTTCAACTAATACTCATTTTCTTCAGACTTATGGCATCATGGTCCAAGCCTAGCCTTTTTCTCATTCTGCCTCACAAATGGAAGAAGGCTTCCTTCCTCATCTTTGTGGGTTATTGTATCATGCCTGCACTTTGCACACGGGTCCCCTTGAGAACATCTTTGAGCAGAGACTCATGAGAACACACTTCTAACTTTCCATGTTTATCAGATGTATTTCATAATTGAAAACTTCATGAATGAAGTACTCTCTGATGATGCTATTTGGTCTTAGTTTGCAAACAAATGAGATAGAATAGCTTTGTTTGACTCAATGGTTCCCCCAAAGGATGAAGATGTTTCATTGTGATATAACAAATGGCACTTTTCCCCCTTCAGCCCTATTAAAATTCCCAAGTGGAAATCTAGAATGTGGACTGAACAAATGAACAACAGTGTGCGTGAGTGTGTGTGTGAGAAAGACAGTGTGTGTGTGTGTGAGAGAGAGAGAGAGAGAGAGAGAATGTGAGAGAGTGTGTGTGTATGCATGTGTGAGTATGTGTGAGACAGTGTGTGTGTGTGTGTGTGTGTGTGTGTGTGTGGTGTTGATGATGATGATTCTGTCACCAAACTACAAGGAGGATTACCAGTGGAGAGGAAGAAATCTTCCAGGGGGGATATAGTAATGGGATGCATTCAATAAGTAGAAGGGAAAACCAGAGGAAGGGAAAGAACACCAGTGGAGGAGGAGGAGAGGGATGGCAAGGTAAGAAGATGCTATGAGGAAACCCATCACATGTATGCAAACCTAAAATATTAAAGAAAGATAAGGGCTTGAAAAGAAAGTGGGACCCTGTTCTTAGCATTCTACTGAGCGTCAAGCTCAGATGTGCCACTAGTTTACTGAATGGGACTCAGGGGCTGGCGCTGCTAGGTTGGTTATCTATGCTACTCTGAGTGCAAGGCCGAGATCCACTCACCTTTAAACAGTGACATAGAGACATAGTGACTTTACTCAACACAATAGTAGGAACAGAACTGCTCCCTGCAGCAGGTATCAAGCCAGTCTCTGATGTTACCAAGTGTCAAGTAAGCACTGCTCCTTAAAGTGCCCAGTCCTTTCGACCTTAAAAAAGAAGGAACGGCACACGTGGTGTTGCACTGTGTGAAGTCGGTAGATGCAGGAAAGGAGTGATGACAGCAGCCTCCGAAAGAACCCACTCCCGGGCTTTGTGTAACCGACCTCAAACTTCAGAAGGGAGAGCCATAATTTCTAATCTGTCCTACTTTTGCGAATAACCGTGTTAAGTGTCCTATTTACTCGTTATTTAAGGTAATATAAGAATTTTGTAAAAGTCAAGAAACTATACATGCTCATAGAAACCCAGTTTGACACAAAGAAAAAGTTCTGAAACTTCAGAGGGTGGAAGCGAGGCAACAGCCAAAGGGAATGAAGATCCCAAAGGATGCTCTTTCCTTCTCTCCATTTCCTGGAGCATTTCCACTGCACTCTTTTACCAGTCACTGAATTCCGCCAGGATGCGCAGCCCATTTTAAACCGGGGCCTTTTCTGAAAGATGTGCTCCCCACTACTGTTTTCTGTTTATGTTCCCCTCCAGCCTAGCTGAGGCCTGAGCTCTCCTAGGGTTGGACCTTTTGAAGCCACGGACCGGCAGCGGACAGGCTTCGGGCAGTAGGCGGCGCTGCAGAACCCGTGTCCTGACCGAAAGCCACCTGTCCAGTGGCCCCACCGACGTGGGTCCCCAGGCCAGAGACCCTTCCTCCCTTTCTCCCAGGACACACTTTTTTTTTTTTTTTTTTTTTTTTTTTTTTGGGCACGGGCAGCGCACTGCCAGGGAGAGTAGAGCAGTGCCCTTTGCATCTTTGCCTTTGGAAGTTGGCTGGATGCTGTTGGAAATGAACCGGTTCTTTCTCACTCACTTTGTTATCAACTGCTACTCGGTGGAGAGAAAACCAGAAGAAAGCAGAGACTTGGAAAAGGAAGAAGTCAGGATTGGAGGGAAGGGGAAAAGTCACCGGTCCTGTGCCTGCTGGGAACCACCGCCCAAATTGTCCCTAAGCGGCCCTCACAGCTGCTGCCCTAGGGGTTTGGGTGTGAGTGTACCGTCGGGGAAGCATTTCACCCACTGTGCACTCCGCACCGCACCTCACCGTGCCCTGTCACCTGCCTTCCACCCTGGCGGTCCGGAGAAGGGAAGGGAACCCGTCACCCGCTGTGGGGCGGCTGTGGGTCGTGCGCACACAGTAGGATTCAGGACCTCCAGGTAGCTCGGGGTTCGAGTTCTGAGTGGCCGCTCTTTCTCCCGAAGCCCCGCCGTCGGTGGCCGTCCGCGGGCAATGCCTGCACTTGAGCCAGCGAGCCCGGCTGGGCCCGAATCCACCGGGCAAACAGAACGGCGCCGCGCTTAGCGGGTCCCGATCCCGGTCCCGCCCGCCCCGCTCGGCCGCGCTCCGGTACTCACGCGTCGGGCCCCGGGGACGGCGGCGCGCGCTGGCAGGGCGGCTCCAGCCCGCCGTTGACACCCCTCCAGCCCCGGCGGCGGCTCTGCGGCTCGGCTCCCTCGGCCTCGCCATCCTCCTCCTCCGGCGCAGGCAAGGTCACCCTCGCGGGCTCCCGGCACTTCCTGACCTTGGTGGACATAGCGGCCAAGCGCGGCGCCGCCCGCAGTCAACAGCCCAGCCACCCCGCGACAAGCCCCGGGGGTCGCGGCGACGGGGACGCCCGGGCCGAGCGCGCGACCTGCAACGGAGCTCGGGGACCGCGGCCGCGAAGCCAGCTGCGCGCGGTCTGCCGGCCCGACAGCATCGCGGCGAGACGGCGTGGTTTCCCTGAGAGGAGAGGGAGGAGGGAGGAGAGAGGGAGGGGAAGGAGGACCAGTCCCTCGGCAGACTGCGCTGCGCAGGATGCAGACAGACCAGCAGGTGGGGAGCTGAGAAACAGCAGAAACTTCTCTCCACTCTCCTTTCTACCAGAGCCCAGAACCTCCTTGCATCTGCAGACCTAAGTTTCCTAGGAAAGGAATAGGAATCGTCGATTTGTGAGCTTTCCCGGAATCGGGTTTTACGCACGCTTAGCTCTCCATATTCCCAAAAGCATTGCTAATTCCCTGTTGTCAGGCTTAGCAGAATCCAAGGGGGTTTAAGTGTGGTTCCTGAGTCCCAGTTCCTCACAGCAGGTCAGTGTCTAAATGTGCGTGCAGGATGCTTTAGTTCTTATAGTCGCCAAGCATCCAACTAGCGTTCTGTACTTTTCAAGAAGTATTTTACAGACTAAAGAATTTTTTTTCTTTTGAGACAAGGTCTCACTCTGTGGCCCAGGATGACATGGAACCCAATATCTGACACAGGCTGGCCTCGGCCTCACCGCAGTCCTTCAGCTTCAGCCTCTCTAAATTATAGCGACTTCTGCACATGTGTGTTGGTGTGTGTGGAGGCCAGATGCCAAACTTTGGTATCCTTCCTTAGGATCATCCATCCTAGGTTTTGAGACAGAATCTCTCACTGGATCCCGGGACTTCTGGACTTGGCTAGGCTTGCTGGCTTGCCATGAAGCCCAGGGAGCCACCTATCCCTACCTCCCCAGCTCGTGTCACCACACCAGGCTTTAAAGAATGAGCTGGGAATGGAACTCAGGTCCTCACTAAATTATTTTTAAAGCTTAAAGGAATTCACTTGAAAATTCAAAGTCACTCAATTTTCTGGGAGAAAGAATTACAGACTTTGATCACTGAGCATTTCAGCGATCAGTAAATGTAGGTATCTTGTTATTGTCGTTCTATTTGTTTGTAGTGGAGCTGGGAGTGGAACCCAGTGCCCAGGGCTAGGTGCTTCCATTTCTGAGCAGCTCACCGGCCTGCATGCCTATCGCGCACATGAGGACAGCCTGGGATAGAAAGACTGAGTGAATTACCCCTGTGAGCAGGTACAGGGAAAGCTCCCATCAGACCCACGGAATATTCGAGATTTTTTTGTCACCTAGGACAGGCAGACACCTTCTGCAATGCATCTCAGAAGAATCACAGACATACCAGCTGTGGTAATCACAATGCCAAGAAATACCAGCCGTGCTACAGTAAGGTGAAGTGAGATTTGTTCACATCTGACTTTATCCAGTGGATACTATGCTTCATGGAGAAACAGTTCTTTTCAGACCCAAGACAAACATAAGTACAGAACCGTGGATCCCTTTAAGGTAGCTCTTAAGAAGTCCTCAAAGCCCTCTATGCATTCCTTCACTGGCAGTAAGTAAGCATATATGAAGGAAGCAGTGGTGTTTGGTTTCCGCTACAGGGAAGATGGGGACATTTGGAAGTCCCTTTCACTCCTTGCTTCATATGAAAGTCTTAATTTTGGAAGGTGGGGTACCACACCCTTTGATTCCACCTTTGAAAGACTTGTAAAGCAGATTGCCTCTTGCACATCAGAAGCCCTGCCTCCAGCCAGGCTCCTGCTGTCCTACCTGTTTTTGTAGCATACCTCTTGCCTAAGATGGGGATCATGTTCAAAGCAACTCTGATCATGACTTTTCTGCGTAAAAAAAAAAAAATCTCTGGTGACTCCCCACACATTCATTTTCAAAATCTACATTGGTCATGCAAGCTTCTGTGATCTAACCCTGATCCTTCTGTCTCCCTCTTGCTCTACATCATGGACATTCTAACTCTGTCACTCCTGTTCATCCCCTGACCTTGGGGTCACTTTCTCATTTCCCTGTCCATGTCATTTACCAACACCAAACTGTCCTTTCATCCACTCCCCTAATGAGCTAGTGAGAGGTCACTGATAGATAGCCTGGCAGTCTCTAACAGCCATCCTTAGGTTCCCAGAGATACTGGAGGTTGCTTTACTGTGTGTCTGTGAGTGTCCCACAGTCTTATCACCTATCAGATCCTACTATATACCTGTGTTCCTCATCTCATCATTTGAAGTTAACTCCTTGTGTGCTGGTCTCCTGTTTAAATGGTGAATTCCTTCTTGTTTTGAGCTGTCTGAAAGCTCATCTTCTGTCTTTGCCATTTAACTGAATCCATCATGCACAGAACAAAAACAGAACGTGTTGCATAAATTAACAAGGTCATGGGTTCCTTAAAATTACATGAGTTGAGTTCATGATCTGGGTTTCTAAGGCTCTGGCGGTGTAGAAGTCCTGAGCATTGTTTCCAAGGGCTACCATAGCAACATTTCAAAGATGGAGTAGCTTAAACAATTCCAGGGGCTGGCTGGAAGTCTGAGTTATAAGTGTGAGCAGAGTTATCAGCTTCTTTGGTCTCTCTCCTTGGTGTGTGTGTGTGTGTGTGTATGTGTGTGTGTGTGTGTGTGTGTGTGTGTGTGTGTGTGTTTACCTTTGCCCTGTGCTCCCACATGTCCTTCCTTTTGTACCTGTCTACCATCTTTGTGGTGATATTTTGTTTATGATCTAACAAATAAAGCTTGTTTGAAGATCAGAGTGCAAAGCTAGGCACACTAGTCAGCCATACAGGCCAGGCTGTGGTGGCATACACCTTGAATCCCAGAAACCATACTAGCTAGCCATAGAAGCTGGGCCTTGGTGGTGTACACATTTAATCCCAGCACTAGAGAGAAATATAAGACGGGTGGAGACAGGAGTGCAGGGTATTCAGTCTGCAACCTAGGCAGCCTGAGGAGCATGTAGTCTGGAGATACAGTCTGAGGACAGAATTGCCCCATCAGTCTGAGCATTGCTAGAGGTAAGAACTCCCTAGTGGCTGGCTGCTTTGCTTCTCTGATCTTCAGCTTTAACCCCATTATCTCTTTCTGGGTTTTTATTATTCATGCTACACACCCTCCTCTTATAGGGACTCTATTCATATTAGATTAGGGATCGACTAAATCGGTCACCCCACTTTAGCTTCATTACGTTTTTGAAAAACCATCTCTAACTACTGTCACATTCTCAGATCTTTGGGTTTGGAGGCACATACACAGTTCAGCCTATGATACATGCTGAGTCTTCTGAGGAACATATCCCGTCAGAGGCTGATGATCTTGTTTTTGACTCAGGGTTTCATGCAGCCCAGCCTGGTGTCAAACCGGATATTGAATTTTTTTCCTGATCCTCCTGCTTCAGCTTCCCGAGTGCTGTGATTATAAGTGTGTGCTGCCACACCCAGTTTAGGAGGTAATTGGAGCCAAACCCATGTTTTGCTGCATGTTAAGCAAGCACACTACCAACCCAGCTACATCCTTAGTCAGATCTAAAGATTTTATCCTTAAGAGCTGTGGCTTGGGCTTAAAGAAAACCCAGAAGAGAGGAGAACTCAAAGAGAACAGTTCCTAGAAAAAAGGAACTGTGGACCCTTCTTGGCGTGAGCCAGCTTTGTCTGTTTCTTTTTTCTGCAGAAGAGGGCCTTCTCATTGCACATGTGTGCTGTCGCTGCCTATGTAGTCTGTTAAGTTGTGTTTCCCGGAGGCACATTCAAAACCTGATACTTCTTTGGGGAACCAAAAATAAATATTCAAAACCTGAACCATTTTCGAGTAGAGACTTAGTCGCTGAGGAATAACTGAAAGATAACTTTAAATTTTAATTCCAAATAAAATAGTGCTTAAAAAAATTGATAGCAGGTGATAGTTCCCAAATTTGCTCCTTGTTTTCTAAGAACACTTTGTACCTTTTTTGCTTTTAATGAGTAGAGCAAACATTTCTTAAGGAAAAATGAGAAACTGTTGAGAGTGGCAAGGGCTTCAATGGCAGAACAACCCATACCTCCTTTAAGATCTCTGCTACATCATAGAAGTGGAGAAACTTCGCATATTCCCACCCCTAGACAAAGAATTATAGGCAACTGTCAGAAGAGGGAAAATTTGCCTCCCAAGGATGAACCCTCTTACTGGTTGTTTAATACAAACTGGTCAGCCCTGAAGCCATATACACACAAACTGACTCAGGAGACAGTATTTATATATGTATGCATACATGTATATGTATTTATTGTAAATAAAAATAATAATAAAAGAAAAAGAGGCTGTCATTTCAGAATGTGGTGGCAGATGAGGGAGTGGGGGAAAGAAAGGAGAGGGGGAAAGTGATGTAATTCTATCTTAATTAAAAATTTTTTTCATCTGTTGAAGTCTTCCATTCCTTATCCCAAACCCTACTCTTTTCTTTGCAATGGTTGAGTATAACACATCTGAGTAAAGACGCTGTGACAGTCATTTCATGGTACCACAGCATGCAGGTTAGTTTCCCCAAGGAGCAGGGACTGTCAGCTATAATGTTTCAAACACACATCTTTCAACTTTCAGAAGAGTAAAAGCCTCTTACAAATTGACCTTGTTTTTTTAAAAAAGTAAGTTTACATCACTAATTCTTAAAGCAGGATAAGTTAACTATTAAACTAGGAAATGCTATATTAGAACAATTAGTCCCCAACCCAACATCTCTGAACTTACTATATACTAATTGTGCTGGCTAGTTTCATGCCAGTTTGACACAAGCTGAAGTCATCAGAGAGGAGGGAGACTTAACTGAGAAAATGCCTGCATAACATTAGCCTGTGAGCAAGCTTGCAGGACATTTTCTTAATTAGTGATTGGTGAGGGAGGGGACGTCACATTGTGGGTGGTTTCATTCCTGGGCAGGTGGTCCTGGATTCCATAAGAAAACAGGCTGAGCAAGCCATAAGTAGCAAACCAGTAAACAGTGCCCTCCATGGCCTCTGCATCAGCTCCTGCCTCCAGGTCCCTGCCCTGCTTGAGTTCCTGCCTGACTTCCTTTAATGATGAACTGTGATGTGGGAGTGTGATCCAAATAAACCCTTTCCTCCCCAACTTTTGGTCATGGAGTCTCATCACAGCAATAGAAACGCTAAGACACAAATTAATAGCCTA